AAAAAAAAAAAAGGGTTTCCAGGCGGTTGAGAAGGGCAGGGAACAGACGTAGCGAGAGAGCGCAGGATGTGCGGGTGGACTGCATCATTCCTCGCACTCCGAGCCGTTAGGCTGTACTTCCTCCCCACTGCCAGGCCTAGCCTCTCGAACAGACTCACCGTACGTCTCCGCAGTAAATCGGGGGCTCACCTCCTGCAAGAACTCCATAAAGAGATCCTCCCCTACCTCCGTCTCTCCCAACTCCATGGTCTGGAATGGCTGCATGTGATACGACGCGAGGAATTCCTCGTGCGGGACAGAGACGATCCCACCGCCGAAAAAATGCTCCTTGCCGTACACCACCAAACCAGTGTGGTAGATGGCCTCGATCTCCATGCCCAGGAGCGCGGGCCCAAGTTGCCGGGCCATCCCCTGAGAGAGATCATAGACTGCTAGCTGAACTTTGAATCGAGGAGATTCCTCTTCACAGCGCAGCGCACTTTCTGGGCTCTCACTTTCGTTCTGGCCAGAAGTGGACATGGTAGAGGCGTATGCCCTGTCCTAATTTTAGATAGGGAGGAGGCAGGATGGCGTGGAAGACGGAAGCAATACGGTGGTCGTCTAAGACGTCAAACTGTCCCAAGAAATGAGTGGGCACCGTCTGAGACTGGATGAGAAAGTTTTTCCTCGATTGCTCTGCATGTGAACGATGGATCACGACAGTATTAGATGCAAAAGGCGTGCCACTGCGTGGAATTCTCGAAGTCGACGTTTCCTGTGACGGCCCATACGGCTCTCCCACCTCCCCCAGTTATTCATGTCCTCTCCGGCGCCCCAGTCGAACAGGCGTGCTCGCACGCGTAACATTCACAGCTTTGCTCTTCACCCATATGATAAAGGGCTTCAAAAAATTAATATTAGGATGCATGAATTTACGCTGTCTCGTGGATGTGCTGCTAGGTTTCGATTTCGACACGACCACATGATCGGATGAGAAATGAGGAGGTTATGAAGTGTACACTCTCTTTTCAATTTGAGCACATTATTCGTCAATGCGTAAGTATCTTACACAATGTCTTCTTACACATTTGTATGAATTGTTTGCATCACTTTATTGAATGCCGTTCTCTAACTAGCAATCTTCACCCCTGGTCTCCTCTCCCTTCCAATACTGCCACTCTTTCTTGCAATGCTTCGATGTTAGCGCG